TTTTTTTTTTTTTTTTGTCTGAACCCCAGGCTACTAAAACTCATATCTGGTAGACTCAATACTTTAATTTAGAATTAAAATTTTATTTTAGTGTATCGATTTGGTCATCTAAAAAAAAAATTTTTGATATGTTTCGAAAATATTTCAACCTATTTCAGAAATAAAATAAAAAAATAAAAAATTTCAAAATTTATTTTCTAAAATATTGATTAAAATATACCAAAATATTTTAAAATACATTTAAACATTCTAAAAAATAATTGTGCAAATATATTAAAATATTACAAAACGCCTCTAAATATTATAAAACACCTTAAAATATTTGAATTTCGATTTTAACACTGATTCATTTCTGTCTCTTTAAAAACAGAAACGTTTTAAACGCTAAAAGAAATTGTGATCATTGACTGTATTATATAATTGTAGATTGTAAAAAATGCAGGGGGAGCCTGGCCCCCTCACGCCATACCAACCCTCCGTAAATCTATGTATATTAGGGACAACCCTTTTGATACACAATTTTTTCAATCTCCCTCATCAAAGTTCTATCACTTCTACCATCACCATCACCATCACCGTCACCCACCACCCTCATTGCACCTCCACCTTTACCCTTATATGTTTGAAAAGTTATTTTTTTTTGTGCTAAATTAAAGAAGATAAAATAAAATAGTTTGTCGGAGTAGTTATGTAAATTATATAAAATAATTTAATTTGATGAGATCAATATATTGTTATTAAATAATTTAAAATTTACAAAATATAATACTTCATAAGAAAAATTTTCATTAACACCATCTCTTAAATTGATTGTTACAGGATATATAGTAAATACAGATGTAGAAGAGAGACAGTATTAAGAAACTGGGCTTACATTTTTTGATTCTTTTTTAATTTTTTTGTTGCAATATACAACATAAAACAACCAACATGACTACAGAGTCTGAATGAAATGTAGTTAATAGGAATAACAAAATGATGATATTTGAGACTATCAATGCAAGCATCTTTTGTATTTATCCATATAAATAGCAAGACTTGATTTATAAATAAAAAAAAATTAGAAATAGACAGAAAATAATCATTTGTCATTTTCATATGCCAAATGTGTGACTTTAGATACCCATTCTTCAACTCCAATATCCTAATGAGGTTTTGCAATGGTAGGATAGTTAAGGTAAACATTTGATATTGGGCCTCACATGAAAAAGGGTAATATTGAAATTATGATGGCATATTATGATGACATTATAAAATTTTAATGAATTTATTGTCAAACATTGACACCAAGGATCTATGCCTACACGAGCACAAACTTTAGAGAGACTTGAGTATAATGTGAGGGGTTTACATTATTAAGTGATAAATCATAGAAGATCCAAGTGTAATTTATTCATAAACAATTGACATTGAGCCTCAAACAATAAAGGATATAATTGANCGCGAGCACAAACTTTAGAGAGACTTGAGTATAATGTGAGGGGTCTACATTATTAAGTGATAAATCATAGAAGATCCAAGTGTAATTTATTCATAAACAATTGACATTGAGCCTCAAACAATAAAGGATATAATTGAAATTATATTTGTATATTATGATGACATCATGAAATTGGAATGTGTATATTAACTAACACTAATAACAAGTGTCTAGGTGATACATGAGTACAAACTTTTAAGTGGTTT